ATAGCAGTAATAACACAGACAAGTACCATCTTCCCGAGTCTAACAAGTGTGGCCTTTGGGAAATCATGTTCATGCATTTTCCCTCCTCCTGCACAAGTCTTTTATTCAGACGCTCCTTGTTTTTCTGTAGTTTACCTCCAGGTGGAGTGAATCACTTGCATTTTTAATCTTTATATCCTGGGAGCCTGCCTATGCCCTAATTTTGACAGAGTTCGATTAAGTGATATTTATATTATAGCGAAAGCTAAATTCTTATTAATGTGCTGTAAAAACAGAAAACTGCTTTTCAGATTTGCGCTGGTGATGCTGCTTTGGTAGTCACCCAGCTACTACAGCCTGTGAAGAGCTATTGAACACAGTCTTCTTGATGAGTCACAGAGCAGCCTGGGGAACGAGGTTTTGTAAGTCTCTATAAGGTCAGTATAAGGTCACTGTGAGTGGACTTGACTAGACAGCTAAAGGCTTTAAAACCTTCCTTCTGACTGTGTAAATAGAGATAGCCTCTGCTTCATTGATGGGAAGATTGGCTTTGGAAACAATGCTCTCAGCAGTATTATTTTGAGTCCTCAGGATGACACAGGCTGATGTCATTCTATTTGGAAAATCTGTAATATTAGCTGCTTGATGCACATTTAAATGGATAGGAATAAGGGAAGTCACAGATGTTTAATGATTTCTTGACCCGATTTTGATTATTGATGTCCTGGTCTGTGTTTCCTTCCTCCTGGCTGCGATTCTCAAATACTTACTGTTCAGGATTGGCACAATTCTCTTCACATCTTGCCCCAGAAAGCTGTAAGAAGGGAAATAGTATCAGACAGAGAAGTAGTCTAATGGGCTGAAATAATGCCAAAGTCACAGGGTCAGTCTGGGTTTTAGTCTTGAGTTTCCATGTCTTATAAGCCATCGTCAATCCTGACTCAGTGGTCCTATGTAGGGCTTTGGAGGTGATAAATCGGGTCGGCTCCATCTTTCTCCCCCAGAGTGGCTAATGGAGTTGAATCAGCAACAATGTCATTGGGTAGCAGTCCAACACCAATGGCACAAATCATATAACCCTTCTTTCAGCTCCTAGTGATGTTCCCGGACTCGTGGATGCATCTGTTGTGTGTTGGTGTCCTCTGTATGCATCTCTTTCTATTTGGCTTTTGATTCTGTTTAAATAACTCTTAAGTGGTTATGGTTAGGATTTTGGTAAAGTGGGTTACATGTGGGGCTGCCAATCACAAACTCAGCAGTTCAGATCCACCAGTCACTCCCAGGGGGAAAGAAGAGGCATTTTGTTCCCAGAAAGAGTTTTAATTTCAGAAACCCAAAGGGGCAGTTCTACCCTGTCCTGTGGGGTCAGTCATGAGTTGGAATCTATTTGATGGCAGTGGGAGTGTTCCTCAGGCACGAGCTGGTGACCAGAACAAGAGCAAAACCAGGTTTCCAAACAGGGTCACTTCCACGGGTTCAGGGGAACCCTGCATATTCCTCTGTGTGCATCTCTTTCTATTGTGCTTTTTCTTATGTGGGGAGGGTATTGTTCAACCTTCACAACTACACTCAAGGTCTCCCCCAAATCCATGTCCTTTCCACATGCAAAATATGTGGTGTGTGAGAACCCCTACCTCTGTATGAGAGGTAGCCATTTGTGACAACTTGCTTGCCCTAGAAATTCCCGTATCTGTCCCATGGGATATTGTTTTTGTTCTTCTCACTCCTACCTACTGGCCTATTAAATTCTAATCCACGGCCCTTTTCATCGCTGCAATGCCACATCAATAACATAGCATCAAAGAGAAGAAAAGGAAAGGGAGAAAAAGAATGTCTTTATTGAATAGCAACTATTCAGTAAACAGTAAGAGTGGCAAGAACCCGCAATTTCCCAGTGTTCCAGCACAACTCCCCCATAGGCAAGGACACGAGGGTGCTTCAGAAGGGTGTGCAAATACAGACTTCAAAGATAACAGCTGGGTTTTTCCCAGAAAACTTTTGAAGCTCATTTTTCAGCACTTGAAACCTACTCTCATCAAGTTGACTCTGACTGGTAGGTGGGGAGGGCGCATTTAACCACATTTTGAATCATGGAGCAAACAGGGGCTTACATAACTTGACAAACTGCACACATGCACCGAGGTGGTCAGAATTCACATAAAATCATATCATAAAAAATGTTTTATGAATTAATAGACCCTGGACGAATCAGGGTTAAAAATTGCTAGATCATTTATACGCCTCAGAGAGAGACCATATGTTCCTTGTCCTACCTTATATCTCAACTCACTTTTTATTTTTATTTTAATAAATCATTTTATTGGGGCTCTTACAGCTCTTATAACGATCCATACATCCATTGTATGAAGCACATCTGTACATATGATACCATCATCCTTTTCAAAACATTTTCTTTCTACTTGAGCCCTTGGTATCAGCTCCCCCCTTTCCCCTCCCCCCACTATCCTCCCTCCATCACGAACTCTTGATAAATTATACTTTATTATTATTTTCATATCTTACACCCTCCGCTGTCTCCCTTCATCCATGTTTCTGTTGTTCTTCACCCTGGGTGTGGGGCAGTCGGAGGCGGGTTATGTCAACACTGTGATCAGTTCTCCCCTTTTTCCCTACATCTTTCCCCCTAACCTCATGGTATCACTACTCCCATTATTGTTCCTGGAGGGTGGGGGTGGGGTATCTGTCCTAGATTCTGTGTGTCGAGAGCTCTTATCTGTACCAGTGTACATGCTCTGGTCTAGCCGAATTTGCAGGGTAGAACTGGGGTCATGATAATGTGTGGGGGCTGGGGGGTGAAGCATTAAAGAATTACAGGAATGTGGTATGTTTTGCCATCAATTGACCTTCTTTACAAAACCTCCTTTAGGTAAACCTCTAGTTAAAATTCTGTCTAAAATCAGTTCTCTCTTCCAGACTAATCTGACATTTCAGGATGATGATATAGCAAAACTCTTTCAAAAGGGACAAAGACTTTTACAGAGCAAACTGGTGGGCGCAGGGAAAGATGTGATGGGGTGAAGGCAAGAAGGTCACATATTAATGACATATGAAAAGGATATAAAGGACTGACAGTCCTCTAATTCTCATGGCTTAATAGTTAGGCATTGAGCTGCTAAAAGCAAGGTCAGCAGTTCAAAGCCACCAGCTGCTCTGTGGGAGAGAGACAGGGCTTTCTACTGCTTGGAAAGAGCTAGTCTTGGAACCTCCCAGGGGCAGTTTTGCCCCGGCCTACAGGATCGATGTGAGTCAGGATCCACTGGATGGCAGTGAGTTTTTGGTAGCAGTGGTCTTCTGCAGGGAATTTGAGAAACACTGGGCTCTCTGTTTTGTTTTTATTTAAAGACATGACCACAAAGGACGAGTGTGCTTCCTCAACAAACTGCCGCACTTTGTTTTGTTTTCCTGAGGGGAGGCCAGAGGAACGTGAAGTGCTCAGGCCTCTGGCAAAGAGAAAAAGAGTAAGGGAAAGAAACAGAAAAAAGAGGAAAGGAGAGGTAAAGAAAAAGAGAGAAAGAGAGAGAAATATATCATTTATATAGGAGGCACACCCCAAAAAACTCAACTGCAAGGAGTTGTACAGGAATTGGATAGTCTCTAGTTTCTTCATTTTCTCTCCCTCTTGATAGGTTTCACAGCCACACACACTAGCTCTTGACAAGTACCCAGGATGTCTTGGGCCAGTGACCCCTGCTCAACTAATGGGTTACTTAGGGGGCCTTGGGCTTATAGTTGGGGAAGAAGTAAAGAGTCCAAAGTATTTTTTAAATGCACCTCTTCTTTAACATATCTCTGGTCTGGAAGCATTTAAACCCCCCAGATCAGTATTTGGAAGTATAGGAGAATTCAGTGTAGAGAAAATAAGTAGCTGGTTTTGATACTTTAAAGTATGTTGAGAGAGCGAGACATAAAGTGGCTTTTTAAGATGCACGGCTATCGTATTTATATCTCTTGCCACCCTAGTTTGGGCTCTGACATTTTCATTAGTCACACATGCATCCACATCACACCACGATAGAAAGAAAACCTCCTGGCCATTAATTTCTTCAATTAACCCCTTGGTTCATTATATGCCATTTCTCCCCATTCACTTCCTTCTAGAGCCTTCTGAGAATTGATTTATCTGAGACCCGAACGCCAACAAGTCCCCTTCCAGCCTTTCCCAACTGAACTCACCTGGATGAAGCCCACCAGGGCGGAGGTGGTGGCGTGGCCTCGGCCTCCCATTGGGCTCTGCTCCTGCTTCTCCAGAATCAGGCACTGGGCAGCTCTTGCCTCCTTTCTGTGGTCTGCACCATATTCAACTGCTGACCTGGACCACTTAAGGACAGAAACCTTTCTCAGCTGTACATCAGTTCTCTCTCTCTCTCTCTCTCTCAGTCTTTCTAGCCTTTCTTTCCGCTTTATCCTGTTTCCCTTCTCTACATCTATTTTTATGATTTAGATAGTTG